TCGTTCCTTCCCTCCCTTCCTCTCCTCTCCTTCCTTCAAATTAGCGCAGTGTGTAAGAGAAAGACTCGTGCTGTTGGTTTGCAGCAGCGTGACTGTCAAGGCTCGTGTACATACATGAAAGGCAATGGCTGATTTTCTCTGTTGATGATGTCTGTCACTCAGGACTGAGACAAAGCCCCCTGTAGTCTTGACACATCCTGGCTTCCTTCATTGCAAGAGCTCTCCTTGGGAACAGAGCTCATTTCAACACGTGCTTTTGCTTTTACATCCGTGAGCTTACTGAAGGCTGTGGGCTTGTTTTAGGAAGCACTGTTAGTCTGAAGACAGATGAAATGCAGTATTCAGTAAGGTACATGTAGTACCATGCATAATTTCAAAGTGTGTTGGATTTTTTTCCCCTGTTCCTTTAGGAAAAAAAAAATGATGCGATCATGTCTTACAAACTTAGTGGTGTCTGGCAAAGTCTTGGTGAGATGTCAGGTTATACTGAAGTAATATCTCAAAGGAGCAGGTCTCCAGCTTCCCAGTTTCGGAGCAGTATGTGTGTGAGAACGCTAGACCCGAGTGTGGTAGCATACATTTTCTGGTGTACCATACAGAGGTGGACATAGTGCTGCCCCTGTTAGGGGAAAGGCATCTCAGATCTTAACGAATTACTTATTCTTGGCTGCCGGCTCAGAGGGTTGCTAGTTTCTGTTTCACTAAATGACTGGAGCAAGCATTTCTTTTCTGGCAATGAGTCCAGTGAGCTTTTCCCTTCAATCCTGTGAAGATACATCTCGTGTCTACACAGCAGTTTAATGGGTGTCTGAAATAGCTGAGGTCTCTTAAAGCAAATGGCAAAAGATGTGGGATAGTGCCATGCCAGCACCTCTCAATTAGCAGGGTCTTATGCAGCCCTTCTCCTGGAGGCCAAGTCCTTGGCTGGAGGAAGCCTCTAGGGCTGTGTCGCAAGGGGAATCTGGGGCTGAGACTGTGTAGTCTGGGGGAACTTGGTGACCTGAGCTCTTCTTGCTTTGCTGACGAACTGAGAAAAAATAGGTTAGCAATTCACTTTACAAGTCTCTTAAGCTATTGTAAGAGTTTATGGGAGCTCATTATGCAATAAATTATAGATATAAAATAGCAGGTGGCACATCTTTCAAGCAGTATGCATGAAAATTCGTCTTGACAAGATTAGGAAAACAGCCCCCAGACCTGTCTTCACTGAGCAACTACAGAGCAAGGAAGCTGTAGTTAAGAGAGATGTGGCATTGATGACATGTCTGTGCTAGCGAGCAGGGCAAAATCACACAACCACATAAGCTCGGGGCTTGGAAGGGACTTCAAGAGATAGAGCCCACCCTCCCTGCTAAAGCAGGTACCCTGCAGTAGGTCGCACAGGGAAGCATGTAGCCAGGTGTTGAGTATCTCCATGGAAGGAGGCCCACCCTCTCTCTGGGCATCCCGCTCAGTGCTCCACCACCCTTATTGTAAAGAAGTTCTTCAGCACATTTGTATGCAACCTCCCACGTTCGATTTTGAGGCCATTGCTCCTCGTCCTATCGCTGCCCACCACCGAGAAGAGCCTGGCCTCACCTATCTGCTTCCCACCTCACTTTTTATATTTATTGACATTAATCAGATCCCCCCCTTGGTCTTTTCCCCACGCTGGACAGACCCAGGTTACTCAGTCTTTTCTCATACGGGAGGTGCTCCAGGCCTCAGTTCATTTTTGTGGCCCTTTGCTCAACAGTAATCGTTAGCAGAATGATTTCTTTCCTGCTAGTTAGAAAATCATATGCAGTATTGGAGACAACATTTGTAAAACCCAGACACCGTATATTTTCATCAAATGTAGCAATTGTCTCCATCTCTGAGGCTCCTGAAACATAAACCCCCTCAGGGTCCTAGCCGGGCTGCTGTGTGCAAGCTGTGAAAATATTGATGCACTCATTTTATCCTTTGCCTTCCTTGTCCTTCTCTTTCCTTTCTTTATTCCTTACTGGCAGCCACTAGCATAGCCAAGTTATTTCTGCGCCAAGATGAGGAAACTTTCCTCCTCAGCCAACTGTGCTGACACTGCTAACCTTGATTTCCATAAATGATTGAACAGTGTCTCCTGTCTGCAGCATATTTCAGGCTGCACTTACCCGAGGTTCTTGGAGAAAAGCTTAGAGAGCTTTTAATCTTTCCCATCTCCGCCTCCCCATCAGCTTTGGTTCTGACTGTCTGCTCCTCCGTGGCCGTGAGCTGCCCCGACCAGCAGCAGCAGTGCTGGGATGCTTTTCTCTGCAAAATGACTTTTTCCGAGTTGTAGGGTTTTGACATTTATTTTAACAGACTGAAAAAATTGATGTGGATTAGTATAGTGGAAAGGAGATTTCTGTGGTCGTTGGACAAGCAGTGCTACTTAAACTGTGGGAATTAGGAAGCGTTAAGAGTAATCTGGTCTTTTGTAACACAGAAGCAATTAATTAGCATTTAGAATAAAGAAATTCGGGATGACATTGCTCATTTTTGCAGCATTAAAACTTTTTACAGGCCTGCTGGGTACAAGAGGGACGTTTCTATTATTTGAAGGCTCTGCTGCTGGGAGGAAAACATTAAGGGAAAGAAAGAGAGTATTCTAAAAGGAAAAAGCTACGTGGAAACCTTTGGTGCTAATGGATCTGATCCATTTGCAGCCGTAGTGTTTGCAGACTGGAGTGTATAATGCAATATTGTGCAAAACACAAAATGCTTAAAAGTAATTTGTGGCAATTTAGGTTTTATCATTGCTTGCACGCTGCTCTGGGGGAATGAGGAGCAAAAGACAAGCTCCCAGACGGGAGAGTTAATAGCTCTAGAAGTGCTGCTCTGCAGGCAGCTGAATGAAGCTGATGACTCCAAGGCAGAGCTGGGCCTTGGGCAGAGGGGCTGGAATGGAAGCACTGTACCTTGCTGAGGCGTGGAGGTGGAACAGCACAGGGAAAGTATATGCTTAGTCCTCATCACAGTAACTGCGTGGTAGGTAGGTCATGTGGCAGTCTTTGGAAAAGACCCCTAAACTGGAAGGAGGAGAAATATCACGCAATCACAAAATAGTTTGAGTTGGAAGGGATCCCTAAAGATCTTCTGGCACAACTCCTCTGCAGTGGACAGGGCCACGTACAGCTCCATCAGGTTGCTTAAAGCGTGGTCCAGCCTGACCTTGTCACCAGGGATGGGGCATCCACGTCTCTGAGCAAGACAGGTGCTTCATTCTTTTGAATAAATGGAAAGACCAAAAGGTCTCCTCTGCAGCTTCTTATTAGCAGTGAAATGCAGCTCATCTGTTTCGGGCCACATCCCTCCGGAAAGCCAGCGTTCAGAGCAGACCAGGTGCCATCCCCTGCAGTGCTGAAACTGGTAGGCCAGTACGTCCCTTCATCACAGCACAAGACTGGCGTAAAGCCTGCCAGTTTAAGTGCATTCCTCACTGGGACAAATTCTTTGTGGATTTTTGTCTGAGGCAAGAGGAACAAAAAAAAAAAATTATAGGTGTATATACACACAAAAAGGAAGCTTTTCTAATGCATTCTGCGCTGTGATTACTAGGAGATGCTCAGAGAAAGTCAAGAACTCCATTCATAGTAGTGGGATCAGATTCTTACAGGCACTTAAATGCTAACTTCTTGCTTTCTAGATAGATGCTTTGAGTCTGGAGCTGCCAGCTCTGCCCTGTCCCTCCTGTTTCCTTGGGGGAGACTCTCTGAAATGTTTCATTTTCGTCCTGGTCAGGAGGAGGTGGGATTGCTGATTGCTGATTGCTGACGCAGCCTGTCCCCAGCAAATTCCTGGGACAGAAAAATGCTTCCCACTTTGGCAGGCTGTATTTTGACTGTTTGGTATATTTGATATTCAGCTGCAGGCTAAAATCACATTTATTGTGCTAGACCTTCAGCAGAGACTTGATTGAGGTTTCAGTTCGGGCAACTGGAGCGTGTGTTCAATGCTGATGATAAATGAGCGTGTGCAAGTACGGAGTTATTATTTTTGTTTATTCCTTAAAATGCTATCTGGTCACCTGGGCTGCCTGCTGCAGGTGTGTCAGTGCTGAATGCTGTTGCCCCAGGCGTTTAACTCTCCCAGGAGCCATCTTTTTGGGCATGTGCTGCAGTGTTGTTTGTACGGGTGACATGGGAGGGCTGCTAGGACACAGAGTGCTGAACGCTCAGCTGTCCAGAACATCGATCTTTCTGCTAGCTTAATTAGCTTATTTTAACATTCCTCTTCATCCTGTAGGGGTTAGAACTGATGGTAGCCGGAGCTGCTGTTCCATACAGCTTGTTTCATGTCACTAATTATTGCCTGTAAGTGGATGGTACACTCCGCTGACAGCCTCTGCAGCGTGTTGGAGCAGTTGCTCTCCCTTCATTCGCTGTCAGAACTGTCTGAAACCTTCCCCTTCAAAGCAGCAGAATCGTTCAGTTCTTGCTGGGTGTTGCTTGGGCAAACTGGTGGAGCGCTGCAGCTAGCACAGCCCTGCAACAGCATCGTGGTGCAGGCAAGCAGATCCAGTCCATGTGAAAGAAGGAGAGTCTAACTAAAATCACTGAAGTTAAAAGCAAATGAGAGGCAGCCTTAAAGACAGGTGGTACCAGCAGCCCCCATCATACACCTTTCTTCCTGACAGTGGCCATTTCAGTGCCAGACTGCTGTTTGCATCCATACTATCCATAGTATTTGTCCAGTGTATTTTGGTGAAAAATTTGCAATAGGGAGAGGGTGTGTAGGCAGGACACACAGAAGAGCCTGCTTGAATAGGCTGGTTGCTGTTACTGCCCAAGCATTTCTCACAGAATGAAAGACATCACAAGAGGGGGTTAGCAGTGTCTGTGGTGTAACCTCTGCTTTTTAACGTGGGTCAAAGGGGGAAGGCTTCAGACCCCCTGCTGTAGAAGTATGTAGCATCTCAGTCCTTACAGTGTTGAGTTTGTGCTAAGCTACCTGAACAGGGACTAAATGGAGTGTGTATCTCTCTCTATTTTTTTTTATAGGAACAGAGAGTTTTCCTTGTTTAACAACCACACAGAGCACCCTATCATCTGCTTGAACAGGTATGACCTTTTTTCTTGCTAGAATAGTTCCACAAGGAGGCTGCTTTTCCTGGCTTTGAGAATTGAGGACAGAGCAAGAAAACTTCTCTAACTCCTGGAACACTTCATTTTTCTGGGGTTAGTTCCCACTTTCCCACTTGTGTTTATGTGTTTTTGTTTTAGTTCCTGCCTTGTTTTTTTTTATTTTTATTTTTAAAGCTTCTTGTGTCTGATGGGAGCCACTGTGCCCATTGCCTACGGAGCTGTCTTCCAGGTTTGGTTAGCAAGGACCTGCTTACAGCTCAGGGTGGAGACAGTGTTAAGGTGGTGTTGATACTGAAGGAGAGCACCTGAAAGAGGTGACGGTGCTGCTTGCATGCAGCTTTGGTTCAGCATGCCCTGTGCTGAGCTGTGCCTCTGAAAATTTGGGAAGAGTTTGGCAGAGCAGTGATAAGCTAGTACTGCCCTGTCTTCAGAATTGAAAATGGTTGTGTTAGATCTGAGAAATGAACATTTTCTCTTCTTTGGAAGAAAGAAATCTTTCAAGAGAGCCCATCTCAGACAATTGAAAACTCTCTATGACACTTGAAGCCAAGTTTTATAGGGAATCTGCGTGGCCTTTGCTGTACTGTTGAGCACGTACTTGCTTTACCAGTGTTTCTTCATGGGTATTCATTGATTTAACTTACAGATAGACATAGTTACTTTTCACTCAAGCACAAGTTTGAAATGCTGAAGACAGGATTTTAAACTTCGGGATATAAGAGTGGAGGCTGGGGGAAAAAGCAGTTAATGGTGACTGATATTCATCAGAAGTGGGCAGTCCATTCTGGACCCTGTTTTACTGAAGTTATGCAAGGTGCTCTTTTTTGATAAGGGCCATGTGTGCCAGCCTCTCCTGTCCTGAGGGATGTGCTGCTGGAGAGGGGGCGCAGGCTTCTCCCACCCTGCGTGCATTTGTGCTTGCTTAGATACATTCTAACCCTAAACATCCAGGGGGGTTTTCTGGTGGCAGCAATGTGCCTGAGGATGTGCCAGCACTTGGGAAAGGAACACTCAGCTCCTGGCATGCCCTGAGGCAGCACGGCGCTGCTTGTACTGATCCTGTATGCTTCAGGAATTTTCCCATGGCCCTGAAGTACCCTTGCAGCCATGAGCGAGTACGAAATGGAGGATTAAATTAGCTTTGTAGATTTAAAGTAACGGGACGTTTCATTGCGGTCACCATTTCTTTGCTGGTGATAAAATTCTCAGACATCTGCTTTGCTGGGCTTAAGCAGTCTGTGCATGCCTTTTATTTAACTGATTGGTCTGAATTATTACTTCTGAAATAAGGAAAAGATGGTGGAGCACCCCGTAGCTTCTTGGTGCTGCTCAGGTGTTTTAAGAAGAGGGCAAATGGATTTGAAATGAAAGAGAAGGAAAGGCTTGTTCATCAGAACTAGTTTTTTCTGTGCAGGTTCACTGCATCAGTGATGGCATGATAATATCTCATGAGCATGAGCTGTCCTTTGTCCCTATAAAGACAAAAACCACCCACTTTACACTAGTTTTCACTAGTAAAAATAATGAGCAGCAAGTGGGTGATGGGGAAAGCTTTGATAAAGGAGATCAGGGCTCAGGGAAAGGAGCTTGTCCCAGTGCATCCTGTGCAAGGGCATCACCGGGGCTGGGCTTGGGTGGGCAGGGGAAGTGACACAACCAGCAGGGTGGCACAGAGGGCTGCAGAAGGGTGACAGAAATCACATTGCAGAGCTGTGATGTCAGCGTAGCCTGTTCCTAACATTTAGAGCTGAAAGCTTGGCTTCAAAAGCAATATGGCTCTGTGATGGTGCTATGTTGATATGTTCATGGACAGCGTGGGACCAAGGTGGACCTGCAGCATGCTCAGAGAGAACACTTGTGCCCCTGCTGGCTCTGCCTTCTCTTCTCCCACGCTGCTGGCTTGCATATCTCCTGCTTGGCACTGGGAGAGCTGCAAGGAGGCATCTCCACTAAGCAACTGTGGAAGGGTTGAATAAGGCTCTTGGCACACCCGGTCTCGTTCCCAGCATGGCATCCAGCCCTCCTTCAGCAGCAGCCAGTCTTTGAAAAGTAGTCTCCTACTGACCAGTGGGCTGTTCTGCAACTGCACTGTGAGCTAGAGACCTCTCCCTAGCTTCCAGCTGAAATTTGTCAATGGCACCAAACCAGCCTTTGTGGGTGTTTTTTTTTTTTTCACCTCCGTGTTTATCCTTTGTCACCAGTCTACTTTTTTCTTGCTTTGAAGGGAGTGCTGTCATTGATTGTATAATCAACCTGCCTCTTTTCTCCTTTCTTGTGATCTTAATAGTCATTTTTTGCTCTCTCCTTTGAAAACGCCTGTTTTGAACAAAAGCCAGAACAGCTGAACCGACTTACTTGTATTTATCTGCTATCATCAGCATTTGCTGCATTTTGAAAGGCCTCAGGCATGGTTGTTAAGCAATGGAAAGGAAGGAGAATGTCCCCTGTCACTGGTAAATCGTGATGATGATGGTGCTGGTGTTAGTAATAATGCTACCTTTCAGGCTGAGTCACTAGTAGGTGCTTCAAACCTGTTTACAGCCCAGAAGCAAGATTGTTCAGGGAGGAACTGACAGGCAGAGATGACATGACTTGCTGCAGCTTTTTGGTAAGCAGCACACCAGCTCTGTGGGCCCGGAGGTGGGCCAGAGAGCCTGGGGGAGAAGGGAAAAATGTCTTCCTTACTTTCCCCTGCAAAATGCTGAACAGTGACGGGTTGGTTTGCGGGACGAGGTTGGTGAGGAAGGGAAGCTGGACTGTTTTGTGCACTGCAGCTCATGCTCAGTGCTTTTGTGATGATCAGCAGCTGGCACCAGCACTAGGCCTTCGCACTGCTGTGCCATATTTCAGAGGAGCAAAAATAAGGAAGGTGAGCTGGTGTATCTAGCTCACATGGAAACTTAGGAGCAGTTGAGAAGCATATTTTCTTTTGCCTCTCTGGTTCTAAAGTCAACATAGTGCTTCCTGCAGCTCAAGAAGCGGTCCAGTGTGCTAATGTTGAATTTTCACATAGCTTCCTAGTGCTGAGTTCCATGGAAGTCTTCCATGAAGTGCCTGGCTGTGGCTGGTGGCAGGGCTGGGGTTGGAAGTCACTGCTGCCTGCCACGCTGTTGTGGAAAAAATGATCCCACTCCAAGAGGAGAGCTTTGAGTGTCTTTGTAGCACAAGTCATCGGCTGCTTCAGCAGTCCTGGCTCCTGTGGGCTCAGTGCTAGAAAACCTGATGCCCAGAGGTAGGGCTGAGTTACTGGGCGTAAGCAGTGATGTTAGTAAATACGCTTCTGAAAAGAGGCAGTGGGAGTAATGGCAGTGCTGTGAGCGTTCTGGCACGTGAGGGGTTTGTGAGTGGCGCGGATTCGTTTGTGTTGAGGAGTGAAGCTTATGAGAAGAACAGATGTTTGAATCATAATGTTCTTTCCAGCACAGCTGATGAAAGAAAACTCCTCATAATCGTGACCAGAAACTATTCTAGTTGTCATCCTTAAGATGAGTCATTTTTTTCCCTCCTTTTTAACCCCTCTGAGACTCGGGTTCCTTCTGAAGCAGGAAGTTATGAATCAGTCCGTTCTCTGGCTCTGACATGCTGGGCAGCTGGAAGAATTGCATAGGGAGTGGGATAACAGTGCAGGAACCATGCTCTGCTGCGGGCTTCTCGTGTAAAGGGAAAGCTTGACATTAGAGAGACAGCTTGTTCTCGTCTTTGTTTTCCAAATCATCTTCAAATTTGTTATCAGAAGGCTCCAGGACATTTCTGTAATAAAACTGGCAGTTTGCCTGTTTGGCCTTTTGCTGTGTTTGTGTGCGATGTGTGGGGATCTCAAGGTGCTCAATCAACAACCCTCTCTTATCAATTAGTTGATAACGTTACCCCTACCTATGTCTGTAAGAGTCCTCTGTAGCATGCTGTATCCTCCTTTCAGTTAAAACCTTTTTGTGCAAAAAAATTTTTTCCTTGCTTATACAATTACATAATTTTGCTGTGAGAAACTGTAAGAACACAGAAGGAGTCTGCTTCCACTTTATGAATGGAATGAAAACAGAATTAGACACAGCAGGATCAAGTCTAGGGTTAATGGCAGTGTGCCTGGGAGCGAGCTACTGTGTGCAACAGCTTTTGCTGTGACTCTTGTTAACGCTCTGCGATTCAGTGCTCTAAGCACCATAATATTAGTAACTAGGTGTCCAAGTCTGCCTTAGATCACTGTTGTGTTAGATACTGTGTGCTCCAACAGTGGAGTTATTCCAGAGCCCAGAGAGCTTACGCTCAGACGTAGGAAGAGAGACAGAGATGTGAGAAGCAGGCAACATGCTGGTGAGACCATGTTTGCTGGTGTAATTACCAGCTGAGAGACCCTGTAGTTCACGCTGGGAAATCGTAGATGGAAATCAGTACTCATGTGTGGCAGCTCACTTGGGACATAGCAGCATGAAAACACATACATTATGCAGCTAGCTAGGGATCTAATTCTGTTTTATTTGTGGGTTGGTTTTTTTTGTTTTCCTTCTTAAAATCCAGTGTATTGAGAGTTAGGAAATACACAGCACCGTTCTGTCTCTCTGCGGTTTAGCATGTTTTCCATTAGGAATATGTTTTTCTAACTCAGTGACAGTTCAGTTACTAATGCAGCTCCATATTCTACGTATTGACCGATGCAGCAGATAACTGAAATGGACAAAATGGTTCAGCTCCATTAAAAATTAAGCTGAAGGTTTGCCCCAAATGGAATCAGACGCCATCCCCTCTTTTTCCCCAAGTGCAGAATTTAGACGTTTCATTTCAACTAGCAGTAGAAATAGCAAATTAAACCAAGATAAGCTTTTTTTAATTTTTTTTTCTGACCTGAACAATGTAAGGAAGATCTGGTAAAGCATTCCTTCTGCACCTTGAATGTTTCGATACCTTTCAGAGGAAATCTACTTTGAAATGCTTGTTGTTGTGTCTTCATACTGATTTGAGTTGAGTTGAAATGATTGGTG